TGCAGAAGCCTGTCGACCAGCTCCCTCCCCGCGCAGCCTGGCTGAGCGTCGGCGGACGCTTGAGGCAGTCGCCCAACGAACGTGGCGATGCTCCACGTGTCCTCTTGAGGAGTGTCCCCTCGTCGGACTCCTGCGTTGTGCATTTGCGCCAGGAGTGGCCGCCAGAGGCACGCCGCGCTGGCTGCCTCGTGTGCACACCCGCAATGCCTGCGATACAGTGGAGGCCAGTCCACAAGAAACCTCCCACGAGAAACTCAACCCTGAGACCCCGGGACGTCCATGGACCTTTGGTGTGGGCACGCCACGCTCTCCATCTCTTAGTCAGCGGCCGCAGGCGAGCGCGCCAGCGGCGAGTCCAGTCAGAGCGGGGCGCGCAAAGACGAATTCACCCAAAGCGGTGGGCCGAAGCCTCACGCGGCACCTCAGCGGCCAGGCTGACAGCAACTGCTGAAGAGCTGCACTTCCAGGGTGCACGCATGCAGCGCGCTGCAAACCCAGGAGATCCAGGGCACCCTGGATGCACGCAGGGTGCCTCTCGGCATGGGTCTGCACGGTCATGCGAGTGAGCGTGGGCCCCCGAAGGCCTGGGCTCCTGCCCGCGGGGCCTGTTTTTGTTCGTCCCGGGGGCCGCCGTCGCCGTCGCCGTCGCCGTCGTCGCCGTCGTCGCCGTCGTCGCCGTCGTCGCCGTCGCCGTCGCCGTCGTCGTCGTCGTCGTCGTCGTCGTCGTCGTCGTCGCCGTCGCCGTCGTCGTCGTCGTCGCCGTCGTCGTCGTCGTCGTCGAGAGCGTGAAGCTGTGTCCGATGAGCGGTCGACTGGCGTCGCGCAGCAGCGCCAGCGGCTCCTGGTAAGTGGCCGCCGCCAGCGGCCGCGGGCCTCCGAGGCCGCGCCCAAAGCCGCGGACGGCCCCCCCCCCGCGTGAGAGAGGCAAAGGCTTCTCTGTCCCCCCTCCTCCTCCCTCCCTCCCTTCCTTCCCTCCTCTCCTACTCCTCCTCCCTCCTCCTCCTCTCCTCCTCCTCCTCCTCCTCATCTTATCCTGCTCCAATCCTCCTCCTCGTCCTCCTCTCCTCCTCCTCCTCCTTCCTCCTCCTCCAATCCTCCTCAATTCCTCCTCAATCAATCTTCCTCCAATCTACATCCCTCCTCCTACTCCTCCTCCCTCCTCCTCCTCCTCTCCTCCTCCTCTCCTCCCTCAATCCTCCAATCCTCCATCCTCCCTCCTCTCCTCCTCCTCCTCCTCCTCCTCCTCCTCCAATCCTCCTCCTCCTCTCTCTCCTCCTCTTCCTCCTCCTCCTCCTCTCCTCCTCCTCTCCTCCTCCTCCTCCTCCTCCTCCTCCTCCTCGTCCAATCCTCCTCCAATCCTCCTCCAATCCCTTTGCTCCTCCTCCTCCTCCTCCTCCTCCTCCTCGCCCTGCGCCCCTCCCCCGCGCTGGGCGGCTCGCGAACCCGTCGTCCATCCGCTGCCCAATGACCCACCGCGCCTTTCGGGGCGACGCCGCCGCGACGGGGGGGGACAGCTGAGGGAGGAGAGAAGGGGAAAGACGGGGGGGGGCGGGGACAAAGGGGGAGGGAATAGGGGGGGGCAAGGGGGGGAGACTCAGGGAAGGGGAGGAGAAGCGGAGGGCGGCTCGGGGACGGGGAGGGACGCTGCGGAGGATCATCGATGATCGTGTTCTGGGGTCGCTGTTGGCCCTCGGGAGGCCTCCGGGGGCCCCACCTCCGGAGACGACATCAGGGAGAGGAGGATGAAGCGGAGGAGGATGGGGAGGAAAAAGAGGAGGAGGAGGAGGAGGAGGATGAGGAGGAGGAGGAGGAAGAGGAGGAGGAGGCTAGTTTAGGACAACCCCGAGGGGAAGAGACTCGAAAGCCTACGACGAAAGAGGTCGGTGGCACCCCTCAGAGAGGGATTTGCTACCGTGGAGGACAAAGCTGCCCACACTCTGACCAGGGCCCGCGACGGGGTGCCACGGCTTGAAATCACGCTTCTGCCATGAGCGCCTCCTTGGCACGCACTCGCCCCGCGAGGGCGGCAAGCCGTCTCTCGTACTCAGGGGCAGCAGGGGCGCTTGGGCAGGCAGTCGGCACAGTGGTGCGAGCCAGGGTCTTCCACCGCGGCTTCGGGACCACAGGCAACGCTGATGCCGCAGAAGCTCGATCAATCTACTGGCGGACTCGACTGCTGGGGCCGAGTCCCTGGCGGTACGTATTCAAGCCTCGCGGCCTTTTCTTGTTGGCCTCTGGCAGGCCTTATCAAGGATACGCGAGCACCGCTGGGCCCAGCACCCGCAACGAACACACAAAAACTGCAAACGGTTGTACTTTGACTTCGGGAGCTCTGGAGCTCTCGGGTGGATCTCGTGGGAGGCCACACCCACGATCAGGTGCCCCAGGGAACGGCGGACGACCTGACGAACGAGCTCGGGGGCCCCAGAGCATCCCAGAGCCTCGCGGGACTCACCCTCGTGGGCGATCTTCAAACACTGCTTGCGCTGCAGACCGAGCG